TTCAACAATCAGTTAAACGTTTAACAAAGTAATATTTAATAATTTTTAATAATCATATTATATATATATCGAGTTTTCAAAATGATGAAATATATTGCAATAATTATTTTTATTTTTTATATAAAAAAAAAATAGTCCGAAAACTAATTAACGTAACGTCTGATTTTTTTTTTTTTATATAGAAGAAGATATCAATTCAATCTAATAATCCATAATTTAGAAATCATTCTAATTAAATTACTTAATCAGAAATTCGACAAAATGAATTAAAAGAATTATTATTATTATCTAATATTATATATAAAAATATCAAACGTTGAAAAACGATACGATTCTCGTTCGATTATATCGAAGCAACTCTTGAAAGATTGCATTGACATTTAACCTTTCGTTTTCGAATATTATTCGATTATACGCAAATAATACTTTCCCTTTATTATAAATGATTATATAAATATATATATAATACCTCTTTCATCGATAAATTTGCCGATGTAGCTAAAAAATGATAACGTTATCATCGCTCTTACGTGAGATTTACACCCACTCACGTTTTGTATCCCCTTGGAAAAACGAATTACGATTGATGGAAATCCTGTCGAAGAAATCTAAATATATATCAACACTCGTGTCACGTAACTTTAAAGAAATATTTACCAAAAGATCTCGTGAAAGAATTTTAGAAGAAAAGATAAATACATACGGGCATTTGTTCGATTTGAATATAAATCGATTTAACCTCGATCCGATTTGTAATAATTTAAAACCAATTAAACATGTCGCAACGACAAAATGGCGATTATCCACAAAGTGGAAACCAAATTCGAAATCAGGTAAATCAAAGATCTCAAAGATTTTCATTTACAAGAAAAATTTCGTTTATTCAAATACAATTTTGTCTTATTCGTTCGTCCTTGGTGATGCCTTAAAATTAAAAATTCAAAAAAGACAAATCCTTAATAATAAAAATAACAGGGAAAAAAGTATTTGGCAAGAATGTATGAAATTCTCAAAAAATGCATCATTCTTTTGGACGTTATCCAATCATTCGTGTTACTCAATCTCGATGATGGAAAATTATCCTTGGCAAAAAGGGCTCGTCCATTCTACCATAAGATTTTATTCTACGAAAAAAGATAATTCTACTGATAAATCTATCATTAACGAATGCAAAACTAAATCGGAAACTTTGTCTACGGACAAAGATCAAAATTTGAATTTGATTGATGACGTATCCTGTACAACGAAATTTGATTCGAAATCATCGTTGGAAAAGAAAAATAGTGAGGATCCTTCGAAGAACAATGTGAACCAGGATCCAATCGAAAATAACATTTGTAAAAATGATATTCCAAAAGAATACTGCGAGGATACGACTTATCGATCGGATTCCAATTCTTCTGTTAAAGATATTTGTCCCGCGGAATCATATCCCCAATGTCCTACTGATCCTAATTCACTCAATCAAAAATATTATTATTGTCCACCTCAAAAACCTATTGTTCCTTGTCCTCCGATACAAGGTAATATTAATAGTATACATTTATTTTTTATATATTGTAGTTTTTGTATCGTTTGTACTTCGTTTTTTATGATTTCATATATCGGTGGTGAATACAAAAGTTAGAATCAATTTTTAGTAAACAAAAAACCTTACAACAGTCCAATCTTTTTTTATACAGAATCGACAAAATTAAAATTTTGGAGATTCCTGTCAATATGCGCTTACGTATTACTTTTTGTCGCGTCAGTGATCATTATACCAAAAGCGGAAGAAGAAAAAAAGAAACCAAGACCGCCATATTACGATGTTCCATATATGTATCGACGAACAAAGGTATTTATTCTTTTCTTTTTTTTATTATAAGAATATTATATATTCTGAACATATATATATATTTATATTATATATTAAATATTCTATATATTATCTAACGTCATTGTGTTTTGATACTCCTATGACCAAGTTATTGCGTTCCACGCATTTCGAAGTAGTAATCCCTTGTACACCCTCAACATTCCCGATAATCGATTAATGAAGCCCTACATGAAGGAACGCTTCGGTTAACCGCACACCGATTAGCTTTGAAATTATACATTTTCAATTTATTCCCTTTTTCATATTGACCTCGATCTATCTATCCATCATAAACAACTGTTTTCACGATAATTAATCAATTATCATTAACTGTGGCATTTGAAATGTTACTATTACATAATATGTCAGCATTTAATTATGCAATTCAGTTAAATCATGGAATAAACCATTGGCTTTTCATTGAAATAAATAAACTTTTTTGAAAAAGTATATAAAAAGAATTCTATTATACGCTAGAAAAATTAATACTCTTAGGAAATATATAACGAGATTATATTTAAATTCATAATTATTATATGTTATTTCGAAATTTAGTTGGTCATTTTACGTATTAACGGTTTTCACAAAGTAATTTCAATGTGTATATATATATATATATATATGTTCATTAATCTAACATTTTTCATTCCAAATGATATTACTTACGGTTCAAAAATGAATATCCTTTTTTTAACTTGTTTATGACAATTTTTCTATTTTATATCTTTTTTCATCAATATTTGTTCTCGTTTATATTCTTCTTTTTAATAACCAAGGACGAGTTAAAGACTGCGTCCCGATAATTATATCATCGTCGATATCAATTAACACGCTCCATTTTAACAGCCCTTTCCTTGGGGGGATGGTAATCACACACTATTTCACAATCCTAGAAAAAATCCTGTTCCACCAGACGGTTACGAAGTTGATGATTCGTAGGAGGATAAATCATTCGCAAAAAAAAAAAAAGAAAAGTAATATGATTTTTGTTTTAAGAGTTAAAATATTGTAATAATATATAAAATTAAAAAACTAATCAATAAATATATATGTAAAATATAATTAGCGCGATATAAACGGTTATCAAATAATTAATAAAAAGAATTATGGTTAATAGAAAAACTTGTGTAAAATACATAAATTAAAATATTTATTCTTAGAAAATGAATAAAATTGTTCCATGTATATGTATTATGTGCACATATTCATTTACACATACAAAAAACAAATACAGAACTACGCTTAGTCATTCTGTTTTAACTCTCGGTATTTTACAAGTGCCAAGATCATTGAGAATTATTTGTTGGGATATTTTCGAGCTTCTCATGACTATTTTTTATTTGCTCTTAAGATAAATATAATAAATATCGTAAAGTAATGATACAACTTTATTTTTTACTTTTTACCGAGAAAAAAAACTTTCATCTGACTCTTTAAACAAGTATATACTACTTGTCGGTCTTTTTCTGAATAATGTTGATTTTTCTTTTTCTTTTCTTTTTTTTTTTTTTACGTCTATAGATACTTACTTTATATAATTTGAAATTAGATTTGTCACTTTTAAAAAACACGAGATAGATTTATGATATTTAAAGATAGAAATAATGTAATAGAGAATATTAATAGCAATAATAAATTGAAAAATTATATAAAAAAAAAAAAGGGTAAAGAGAAATGTTAAATAAATATTATAAAAAATACATATTTATATATTATTAATATTAATATATTATTAATCAAAGAAAGAACGGTTTATAATAATTTAGCATATAAATAGATGATTATAATTAAATATTCATTTATGTATTTTTTAAGTCATATAACTCTTAACAAAATTTACATATTACATAAGAGATATAAGATTATTAAAATGAGTTTCTTTTTTACCGAATTAAAATATCGTAGACTGTGTATTACGAAATACTTTAATTAATAGGTTTTACCGGTGTTTACTTTGCAAATCTTAGTAATACCTGGGATTGATGAACGTTTAACGCTTGGTTATCTCAATTTAGAAAATGCAATTTTTAAGATGATAGGTAGTTATGGAAATACGATTCTTGATATTTCATTACTTTTCCACTTTCCATTTCGAAATTTAATATTCACAAACAACATTTTCCATTTCCACAAGCATTTGACTTTATTTATTATATAATATACAACCATCTATCATTTTATCTATAAAAATTCAATATTATGTATTCTTATATGTTCACTTTTTGTCGTTGTAAATAAAAAAAGTGAAGTAGGGGAAGTATAAGTACAAGCAATAAAATACAGAACGAGTAAAAATATAGTATAAAGTAATGTCGTAATTTATCTTGTCGGAGATCATATAACACATTCCTTTTTTTTTATCTTCCATTATCTTCATCCAAAAAACATGAGAGAAGAGAAAGAAATCTCCCAAATTTGGGCCACGAGATAAAAGATGCTAAGTCCAGTTATTGAACAAAATGAAAAAATGCGTATTAACTTTTATTTGAAAGTATTATATTCATAAATATATTTTCTAAAACATCTAAAAATGGTATAAAATGTAAATTTTCTTATGTAAATTTGATGTAGTCTTATTATATGTGATTGGAATACTTGCATATCTCATGGAAAGAAAGGAAATTTTTTGTTATTTAAGTAGCACGATGAAATTTTGTTATTTATTTAATTTGCATAGAAAATTATTATGCTTCGAGATGATGAGATCGTGATAATAAATATGAGAGAAAGGTGGAAAGAAAGGAGGATTATATGTTAGTTGAAAGGAGAGAAATATTCTTAGAATATATAGTAATCGAATTAGAAGGCAAGGCTGTCAGCAAGTTCTATCGAATCTGACCTTGTTTCGCACTCTTCTTCGTTATTCCCTTGATGCCGAAAAACAATTCGTACAAACTAACAATCACAAGAAAATCAATGATTTATTTATTATAATTATAAAAAAAAAAAAAACAATCCAAAAGGTGGCCATTAATATTAATAAGAAATCAAATATCGCAATCTTGATGAATTTTTAATTATTTTGTCGTAGGTCATTGAACTTGTCTTAAATTCAAAATAAAATTAATCAAAGCGTGTGTCATATATTATACAAGTAAATATTGTTTTTTTTTTTTAGTTATAATATTCATAATCAACAAATATTTCTATTACCACTATAAAAATCCAATTCAAATCTGATGAAATGTTAATTTAATATATTCATATTATTCGATTTTTAAAATGATCACCCGTGATCACATACAAATTTTATAAATAAAATTTCTAATATTATTTTTTAACGCGAAAATAAATCTGTCGTAAGAAAAATCCGATTGGCTTATCATTTCCGGTCCGGACAACCGGTTTCCCTTCTCATTAAACGTTATCCTTGTAAAGTAACAGCTAACGCGTAGCCGGTCGTTCCTATAATAATCGGGGCAGATTTTAGTTTTCATTTTTTCTCACCGTTTTCTTTCTTATTTTTTTTTGTTTCCTTTTTTACCATGTAAACGCGCAAACGCGTTACGTTTTTCAGTTCGATGGAGGGGCGGCAATATGATTCGCGGCGCAGCTGGTTTCGCGTTCCTTCCTTCGTTTCCCGGTTTCGATCAATAGCTTAGGTCCCTAGGACGTGGTGAAGGTGGTTGTCCAGGCCAGTGGCGGATTCAGAACATAACTCTTCGACGAAGATGATGCACTTTCTAGAATAAATACCACAATCGTTGATCTATCGATTTTATTCAACGTATGTTCGTTCTATCTTCCTATTTCAAATATAAACATTCTCGGTTAATCCTTATTTTTTCATTATTTTTCTTATTAATTTTCGAATTCATTATTATTGCCATGTAATTTGAGTATTAATTTTTATCGCTTATTGAATTTTATTCGTTAATATTTATTTTTCTTTTTTATAATATAAGTTTATAAAGGAGTTTGGACTGTTGGATAATTGAGTAGAATTTAGAATATTAAATTTGATTTAATATTTAGAATTGATAACGAGCCGTACATATAAATTAAGTATTTTTATCAAAATAAGATATTGACAACTGAAAACATACGAGCAACATCGTACGAGTCGAGTCGAACACGAGAGGAATCCGTATAACGAAGGCAAACTTTCAATCGACTTCTTGGTAATAATATTGTCAAGGGAAAAAGAAAGAAAAAAAAAGAAAGAAAATAAAAAGAAGATATTTAATCAGATGAACGATTAATTTCTTACAAAAATTAATTTCGTATCAATCAATCATTTTATAATCATCAAGATTAAAAGTAAAGAATAAATAATAAACGTTTAAGTGCAAAATTAAAAAATATAAAATAAGAATAACAATAAAAATTGTTGGTAAAATCCGTAATAATATTAATCGAAACAAAATGATTTCGTTGGGGAATTTTCTTTTTAAAAAATATAATAAAAATATCGTATATATATATATAAAATAAAATAAAAAAAATAAATTCAATTTAACGCACGAGTTAAATAAAAACGCAATTAAACTTTGGCGCGCAGCCACGACTAGTGACGGTACTGGTAGCTCGTAAAGACTCGTGATAGGTGGAGATGTTCGTGGGTGATCGTAATGCCGGTGGTGGCGCTTGATGGTGGGGGGTAAAGAAAGGGAATCACAGTAGAGCCGTCAGTTGGCCGCCGCGCGTCGGCGGTGTAATATCTCGTTGTAAATTGTTTCTTAGTAATAATCGTTGCCTCGATCGATTTATTACCTTGATCGATCCTTTTCAAAGGATATCTCGCACATATTGATCTACGTACACGTCATTAAAAACTATATAATAGTCATCTATTTTCAAATAACTAAATTATCGAAATCTACATTCCAGTTTAAATAATAGGAACGAAAAGGGAAAGTGTCAAAGGCAAATATTTGTCTGTCTTACGAACGGTGTATGTATATATATACATATACATATATATATATGTATTTATGTATATATATATGTGAGTGTTATGTGTGTTACTACTGTGTGTAATGCGTGTGTTTGTCGGTGGAACGAGTTCATTTCTTCGTCCAAGGGCTTCCCGTGTCCAGTGACGTTTTTTTAAAAGAAGCTTTTGATATAATATAAATAATTCAAACGATCACATTCTTGCGTGAAGATCAATCTAACCGAAAAAAAGAAAAAAAAAAACAACGAGACATTTTATTTTATTTTTCTAAATATAAAGAATAGTATAATGTGTAGATAATCATTTAACGTTACCATCAGTTTTAAATGATACAAATATACTTATATATAATTTGTGTGAAGAAATAATTTTCTTTTTTTTTTCTTCTTATTTATCATTAAAAAAAATTCGAATACGCGCTACCGTATCGACAAAAAAGATAGTAGGTGTGGCGCGAAACGTGTATTTTCTCTAAGGCAGAAGAAATTATCTCTATCTTTATCTCGTTTATTTTTTTTTCTTCTTTTATCGTCTTCCTCTTTTACCTTCCACAATTTAAGTTTTTACTTCTTTTATACACATCACTTGGAGTCACGGATGATACTTACGTAAGTAAATTTAATATATTACGTTTAAATTGTTGTTATACTGGTCACGAAATATCAATTCGTATGTTATTTTTTAGTATCACCAATCGCGTCACTTGTATTTTAAATAAGAAACCAATGATAATGATTTATCCATCTTGACAATAACCAATCAAAAAAATCCATTCCGTTTTTTAATATCTAATCGAAGATTATTTTTTTCTTTTTTTATGATTTAATTTATGATTATTATACTAAACTCTGATGATTAGAGATTCTTTTCGTTAATTTTATTCTGTTATTAATTTAAGATTAGGTATTTTTTATAAAAAAAAAAAAACAATTACAAAAATTAAGAGTTAATTATTAATAAATATTTTTATTATTAAAGGAACGTTAGAACAACGTAGATATCTCACCAAGAAGAAGAATATCTAATAAGAGCTTCCTTGCAACACGGAGAATATTTTTATTTTATTTTATTTCTTATTTATTTATAAACTATTCGAAGATGTACGGGTGATAAACAATCTTCCTCTTCAAAATGTTGATCAAAGAATATAGAATTCCTCTGCCGCTTACGGTGGAGGAATACCAAATTGCTCAACTTTACATGATAGCGGTAAATATGTAAACTGCAATTTCGTTTAATTTTTAATCTAGTTAATCTCTATCAGTTTCGCAATTTTCACAATTTGATTAAACAATAATTCAATTTTCTTTTTAACCCGACATATTTTTAAAACAACAACGACAGATACAAGCAAACAAATAGAAAAATTTGAAAATTGTGAAACCAACCTCAAGCAGGTTCCAAATATTATAAACAAATATTATTTATTAAAAAAAAAAAAGAAAATAGCAAGGGGAAAGAAAAAAGAATTTGTTGTATTGTAGAAAAAATCACGCGAAGAAAGCAGAGGTACCGGAAGTGGGGTAGAAATAATAGTTAACAAACCATATACAAATGGTCCCGGTGGAAATGGTCAATACACACATAAAATTTATCATGTTGGTAGCCATTTACCAGGATGGTTCAAAAGTTTATTACCAAAATCGGCATTAATAGCAAAAGAGGAAGCATGGAACGCGTATCCCTATACAAAAACGCGATACACGAGTCCGTTCGTCGAGAAGTTTTCCATAGAAATAGAAACTTATTATTTTCCTGATAATGGTTATCAAGAAAATGTCTTCAAACTTAGCGGTGCCGATCTGAGAAACAGAGTTGTAGGTATGTGTGTAAATATTTTTTATGAAAGAAAATACAACGACAAATAATCCAAAAAATATTTTCTATTTAATATCATCATACTCTGTGAATAATATGATATATATATATATATACTAATTAATTAAATTTTATTACATTTTATTAGATAAATTTAATTATACAAATTTATTGTATAATACATAAAGCAAAAAATAATCCAAATAAATCAACATATTAATTTAATATAAAACAAAACACTAATACACACATACACGGCAATAATATGAAACATTCCAGATTTGATTGACATAGTAAAAGATCAAATTGATTATGTCAAAGAAGAAGATCCTAAATTATACATCTCCGAGAAAACAGCAAGAGGGCCATTAACAGAAACCTGGTTGGAAGATTATTGGGCTGATGTCAAAGTAAAAATACACTTTATTATCCTTTCAAAAAAAAAAAAAACAAAAAAATAAAATTGATAAAATAAATAAAAACCAATAAAACGATACAACCGAACTATCTCTCTTATATTTAGGATAAACAGCAGCCAACACCATCGGGAAAATCATTAATGTGTGCATACAAATTATGCCGGGTTGAATTTCGTTACTGGGGTATGCAAACAAAATTAGAAAAGTTCATACACGATATGGGTTAGTACTTGTTACCAAATACATACATAGATACATTTTTTGTACTAATTCTTATTCATAAATTTCGTACATTTATTTTACTTAAAAAATAAGTTAAGAATTTATTTTCAAACGCGAAATGAAAAAAAGAAAAAATATATATATATATAGATATATAAAAAAAAAAAAAAAGAAAAAGAGAGAAAAAAAAAACTACCGATTAAAAACGAATTCGTAGCATTGAGAAAAGTGATGGCACGAGCACACAGGCAAGCCTGGGCCTGGCAAGATGAATGGCATGGTTTAACTATGGAAAACATCAGAGAAATCGAACGACAAACTCAATTAGCATTACAACAAAAGATGGCTCTTACTGAGTCTGGTGAAGAAATAACTGGGGATGATGATCAGGACGCTAATACAGGAAATACTGGAATGACGCCGCAAGAAACAAACGTTGCTCGAACATTCGCAGCTACTTTGAGTAGTATCGAGAAAAATGAGGATCTTCAAAGTCCACCGAGGGTCAGGAAACCATCGGATATACCGATCATCAATACAGCTGTTAGTTCTGAAGGAGAAGTTAGTCCTGAAGATTCTCCAACTGAACAACCCAATACTAAGTAATTTATTAATATTTATTTTGTTGTTTTATATGTGTAATTTATATTATTTTTGGATTGATAATAAAATTATTGTAATAATAATAATTTTACAAATATAACGCATAATATTATACGTTAATATTATAATAATCACAGCCCATCTCGATATTGTAATATTAATATAATTTATACATGTAATATCATGTGCCATAAATTCGTAATAATATTATCGGATTAATTATTATAATATTAATTACTTACAATTGTTTATATTTCTTTTTTTATTTAGTAATAGCCCGAACGACGAAAAAAGTGAAAAGAAATCATGGAAGAAGAATGCAGCAAGTCATTCGCCTAGTTCAGCTAAAAGTATGGACATGCAAATAGCAAATTGGAGAATGGAGAGTATAGTTCGAGAATCCGAAACAAGTAGCGAAGAGGAATTCTTTGATTGTCAGGGTAAGAATTATATTTTATTGTTATTATCTTTTTCTAATTATTCGAACAAATTGATTATAGGAAAATAAGCATGACAGTAGTATCAAACAAATTGATGTATCAATCATTACGATAAGCAAGAATTAACTTTTTCAAAATTCTTTCATGAAATATTTTCAAAATAACAATAAAACGATAATTAATACGATAATAATAATAATAATAATGCATTTTTGTGCATCGTTTTATTATCTAACCTGCATCTCGTAGATACGTTAATTCCTTATTCATTTTCTAAACTCAACATACTCTGCAACACTTCGTGGTTTCGTACGAAAACAATTTGTTCGTTTGATATGATGATAATAATAATAAAAAATAAAAAAAGAAAGAAATAATATTTATTTAAAAATAAATTAATGACCACAGAGTGTAAACAGAATATATATTCTAGTACGAAAGAAAGTTTGAAATGTGTCTAATTGTTAAAAATGTATTTTATCCATTTACCTCTATCTATCTTTTTAATTACTCTTTCTTATATTTAACTCTTTTTCTTTAAATTTTTTTTTGTTTTCTTTTTCTTTCATAGGTAAATAAGTCAGCTATTAAAAAGACAATAATAGCATGTGTTGACTATTTCGAACAGTCTTTTTTATGTCTACCTTCTCTGTTTTTTTCTTGCACTCCACACATACACCGCAGCTGGGTTCATTATACCTACTATATGTAAAGGTAGGACGCGTAGTTAACGATGAATAGTTCATCATCATCATTAGAAGAGAACACACACACACACACATACACACGCGTATGCGCAAAATACAACAGCTAGAGCAAGCAAATGAAAATATTTTTCTTGACAAAAAAAAAAATTATACAATTGTTTAATAATAAAAATAATAATAATAAAAAAACTGTGCGCATT